TGGAGAGATTTCCCATGAATTTCTGTTCCATAGCCACCACAAAAAGTGAATGGTAGCCACTAGGATCACAGAATTTATGTCCCCAATTCTAAAGAATCACCTCTATTCCTGTTCTGGAATCTTTTGCTTTTGGTCATATTAGTAAACAGGACAAAAACAGAGGATATATCTCCTTAACCACTTACCCTCCTGAGGATTTACTTACCAGGCCATATTTTGCGCTACAGCACTATGTTACTTTAACTGACAATTATAGGGTCATGCAACTCCCAATACATGTATATTAATTGGTTTCCGTGAAAATTAAAGTGTTTATAAAGGGGGGTATAGATACTGGGATTTTTGTTTTTTTCTACTAGTAATCGGGAACTAACTTGGTGTCACTGACATCCCCAGTGACACCAATACAGTGATCAGTGCTAAAAAAAAACACTGACACTGTACTAATGACACTGGGCAGGAAGGGGTTAAACATGAGAGGTGATCAAAGGGTTAACTATATGTAGGGAGTGTTTTACTGGGGGGGGGGGTGCTTCACTGTAAGCACATTGATCAGGATGGCTGTGCTGTGCTCCATTCTTCTCTCATCACATGCACCCCCTCTCTCACACCACCCTTGCACTCCCACCACCCCCACCCCCCATGTCTACAGGCCCTCCCCATTTTTCGCCAATTTCTCACCCAATCCCTGCATAGACATCCCCATGCACTCTCTGCTCCTGCCATCATACCAGCACACTGCCCCCTTGCTTTCACCACCTACACTCTGCTTCCAACACCACCAACATCTGAACAACATAATCCACTCATCCAGCTGCCTGATACCACATTTAACAACCATGTCTGCGACTCCCTGCTCTCACCATTGTGCCTGAACCCCCCTCTGACACCTGAACCTGTGCATGCTTCACATTACCCTTACTCTCTTCCAGCACAAGCACATCCCCAACTATATCTGGAGAATTCTAATTAAACATAGCCACAGGATTAAAGCAGAGGGAACTAGCGATACTGCTGATCTAATCCTTAAACTTCAACATCTAGAACTACTCCAGAAAGGAACTACACTATCTCCCCAATTTGGCACCAAAATTGCCAAGCTCAGAGAAACACTTCATACTCATTCTCTTTACAAGACAAAGCACCTGTTACTACATAACAGACCTTTCATCTACGCATATGGCGATAAATGTAGCAGGCTCTTGTCACACTATAGCATTGGGTTTGTCTTGGGCCAGATAATCGTCTTTACCAATCCTGACAAAGACCCCTCACAATGTGCCAGCTATTGACCAATATCTTTATTGAACAGTGACCTGAAACTTTTTTCCAAAATTCTGGCCAATACACTCAGCACAATCCTTCAATGAATAGTCCCCCTGGACCAAGTTGGTTTCATCCCCACAAGGGATGCACAGGATAACACCATTTGTACTAATAATATCATCAATACGGCCAGAATATCATCCGTCCCTATGCTTCTGCTGTCTACTGATGCAGAAAAAGGCTTTGACAGGGTGGATTGGACTTTACATTGTACATCGGCCCATATTGGAGTACCAGAACCCATGCTTACTTGTATAGAAGCATTATATTCTACTCCCTCAGCAACTGTCCGTATTAATTGCAGAAAACCTGCTCCTTTTGACATCCACAGTGGAAAAGGCAGGGTTGCCCTCTTTCACCCCCTAATTTTCATTTTAACCCTGGAACCTTTCTTGAAACATATTAGGGCTACCCTTGATATTTCTGGCCTTTCAGCCCGAGGATACCATTAGACATTTCGGTTCAGTTTATTCAAATTCATTTTCGGAGATTCGTATTTAAATTTCTAAATGGACAAATCTGAATGAATCCGAAAAAGTTTTAAAGACATTTTCAGATCATTTAGATTTGTTTGGATCATTCCAATTCATTGAGAAAAGCAGGTTGTTAAGGAATGGGTGGCAGCCCTGTCCTTAACAAGCATGACCCCTGAAATTTTGCTTATTTGGTTTCATTGTGTTGGCCCGTTTCATTTTCGGGATTTCTTTTGCTTCTTCGGCATTTGTTTAAATTTATTAATTATACTGGGTGGATTCAAAAAGTTTTCTAATCCACCTGGTATAACTTAGCTGTGGTTGTTAAGGAGCAGGCAGCCACCACATCCTTAGCAACCATGACTCATCTGCTGTCAATGGGATTGGTTGGAATGGGCCCTGTCTGTACCATGTGATTACTGTGACCACTCACAGAGATCAACACAATAGTACACAATGGATGCCATGAATAAAAGCCATCCATTGTGTACAATGGTCATGTGATCTGCTGTGATCACATGGTACTAGCAATACATTTATCAGTTATCCGCTGTATCGGGTGAATGTAGTAAATATCTGGTTGTTCACACATTGTATAAATGTTGTGTTTGTAAAAATGATAGGAAAATGCATTTTAATTCTAATTTTAAAAAATTCCTCCACAACACTCTGACAGCAGAATGTGAACAAAAACATACAGGTTAAAAAACAAAAACAAAACAGCATGGAGGTCCCCTCAATCTATACCAGACCCTTACCCAAGAATGCAAACCCAGCAGACCAGGGAAGGGGGTACCCTTTCCTGTGAGTGCCCCCCCTCCTGAACCATAAAAGGACACATGCCCTCAACATGGAGGAGTGCTTTGGAGGAGGCTCCTCCCCCAAAGCACGTTATCCTCATGGAGACTCTCCTCCACAACCCTGGACAGTGTTTGTAGGGGTCTGTTGGTGGGAGGCTTATCAATATATGAAAGCTCCCTCTAACAAGGGGGCCCCCAGAACCCCCCCATGTCTACTTGTCATTGGGCAATTGTTTCTCCACAGGACACATCATTTGCCCATTTAAGTCTCTTCTCCCCCCCCCCCCCCCCCACATATATTGGGAGTTTTACCCTCAGCAAAACAACTTTAAAACTAGAATGGTGTCACCAAAAGTATGTGTCTGACTTCTTGATCTGCAGATGTCAGTTGTGACTGTCACTATACAAGCTTGAAGCAAAATCCTCATATGACGATTGTATATAGTTGGGTATGTGTTTAAAAAAAATAACGACTTGTATGTTTGGTAATGATTATCTTCTCCTGTACTGGTGAATCTTTAAGTATGAATAAAAAATGTTTTAAAAAATAAAATCCTGACAGAGGTTCTAATCTTTCATATTTTATCCAAAATTGAAAAATATGATGGCTTTAGATCCATTTTTACTTTTGAACAAGCTTGACTTAATGAACATAGATAATATGAGGTTAGCAACTCAAAATGTCCATAATTCTATGAATTACACTTCTAGATCTATAAGATATCTCTTGACATTAGTGCATAGGATAATAAAAAAATATACATTTAAACATTCAGTCGATAGATGTAGAGCTTGAACTCAAAGAAGTAAAACATTTAGAAACAATTAATAAACAAAGGAAGCAAAGTAATAAAAGTTATTACAAATGTTGACTAGCAAAAATAATTAACTGACCTCTCATCCATATTGGACCTGCCTGGCAATCCTTAAATAGAACTGCATTTTTGTTCCTCCAGGTGAAGTACATTTGGAAAAGCATCCATAAAATACAGATGACTATCATGAAAGTGAGGAATATGAGAAAGTCTTTCTCAAAGACGTGAATGTCCTGAGTGAATACACAGGTTAGCAAAGCACAAGTGAAGACCAAGACATTGGAGCCCAATAATGCAGAGAGTAGCCTACTTCCTTTTTTCCAGTCCCTCTTCTGATCTTTCTCCTGTATTACCGGTGTTCCGTTCTGTGGTGGATCATTAGTGGTGTTCAACTCTAGATTATCCTCCATTATAGCTTCAAAAGGAGTCACTCTTGATATGTCAGTACAGTCTTATTCAGCACAATCTCCCACTGCACATCTACAACATTCAATATATTGAAAAAAAACACATTCCTGCAGAACAGAAATGTCAAGTGTTTCCCTTGAGCTGCTGTTTAATTGGTGGATAAAGGTTCTCTTTCGTGTCCCAACTTGCTCCGTTATATGTTTACTCTGGTGAATGTATTCTTTGGCTTTCTATATTCCATTATCAATGACCAAGGCAGTATGACAGGAAATCCTAGAGAGAAAGGAGGAGGCAAAATATAAAATTTCAATGCTGTCCTACCAGGTGAAGGGGCATGAGGCAAAGGTGTGGTGCATTTATGTTACATCCTCCACTTGACTTACATGTGTTTTTTTCACCGTTGGATTCCCAGAGACTTTTATTCACTTAATTTGGTTAAGTCCCAGATGGTTTTTTGCATTTCAGAGATATCTTGGTTTCTCTCACCATGTATCATTTAGATATAAAATCTACTGTAATGTATTATGTATTTTTTTGGGATAGGGCTTTAATTTGTTAGAAGAGTTATATAAATATATTTTTCCTATTTTTTTGGAGGAATTTTTGAAACATTAAAATGCATTTTCCTATCATTTTCACAAACTCAAAATTTATACAATGTGTGAACACCAGATATTTACTACATCCACCCGACACAGCGGATAACTGATCAATGTATTGCTTGTACCATGTGATCATAGCAGATCACATGACAATTGTACACAATGGATGGCTTTTTATTCATGCCATCCATTGTGTACTATTGTGTTGATCTCTGTGATTGGTCACAGTAATCACATGGTCCAGACAGGGTCAAGTCCAGCCAATCTGTACCAGGTGATTAGCTGTGACCAATCACAGCTAACCACAATAGTAAACACTGAAGGAATCAATTTAATTCAGCAAAAAAGGTTGCTTATAACTGTGAAATTCACTGGTATAAGCAATCATAAGAAAAAAAAAAACTAGTACAATGTTTCTATGGTAGCACTGTATTGTTCCGGTCACAGTGTGTGTGGTTTGCAATCTGTAAAAATCCAAATAACATTACCTTGATATTACTTTCAAGCATTTGACACTTGCACTGTATATATATATATAGCGCTCCCCCTTAGAAGCCACTGGTTTGCTGAGCCCTCCAGGGGTGAACTGACCATTTGGAAACTCAGGCACTGGCCGAGGGCCCGGGGTCAGTAGGGGGCCCCATGAGATGCCCTGGAACCTTTTTCATAGGCTTTTTTGAGTTTGGGCAAGGACACAGGGGCCCCATGATCCCCTATTGCCCGGGGGCCCCATGAGTTGTCAGTCTGCCCCTGGAGCCCTCTGAAGTTTAGTCCCTTTCTTTAAATAGTGGACCTTGGCAGCTACCACTCCCTGACACACCCTCTCTTTTGAATGAATGACACACAATTAGGTAAACACTATATTGATAGTAGACCAGTTAAATGAAGCAAGGTAACACAAACTGTGACCAAGATAAGATAACATACATTTCTACACAGAGTACTTCTATATCAGGGTTGTGTGAAAGAAACAACACTACAAGTAAATGGGCCCATCTTTTACCAATAAGCCTAAACTGTAACAGAGTCACCTAGAGTAGCATAAGGGCAGCTAGAAATGAATAGTATAAACCCCTGGAAGCTATGCTGCCTTAGGCCCTGGAGTGACTGTGCTAGGTTTAAGTCTGCCTGCAGGACTTCAGTGTTCAGGAAGGTGAAAAATTGCCATGTAAAGTCTATGTAAACACTATCAAGCAGGGAGGGAAGAAATATTTCCAAAAAAAGGAAAAGAAAATAGTTATTTCTGCTGCCGTGGTTGGGGCCCTTAAGGTGATACACTAATGATGATGCTACGTGTCTTCCTGATACCCCCAGTTCAAGGAGGTGAGGACTTGATGAAGAGTTCTGATAGAAGGAACTCATACAGGGCTTAACAGAAATTAAAATGCCAGCAACAAGTACAATGAGGAGTTAAGTGGACCTGAGCTAGTGGGGTAATCCAGAACAGATGGTATGTAACTTCTCAGTGGAATGCAGCAAAAACGTGGTAGTGTCTAAGAAACCAGATGAAAAATTATGTCAGGAACCATGAACCAGGAGGAGACAAAAAAGTGCAGTTAAAATCACAAATAGCAAATATAGCATAGATCAGGAACATAGACAAAACAGAAGTCAGAGCAGGTTATCAGATGAGCCAGAGTCAGGAAACCAGAAATCAGTGTAGTCAGGAGCCAAAAATCAGGAATAAGAATCAGAAGAGAAGTCAGCCAGATCAAGTTGTACGCAGGAACACACTGGAGATCATAGACCATGCAATGGAAAGGTGGAAATGAGCTAAGCTGCTAAAATAGCAAAAAGGGCTGGCTGTAGGCTGGACTAATGAGACAGGTAATGGTATCCAGATGAGTCACTGTGGAGACAACAAGTGGCTGTTAATTAACTGACAGCTAAGCAGCTTCTGATCACTGAAAGAAAAGAGCTGCTCGCTAAGTAGCAGGAGCCCAGCCTTGACATCGTGTTAGCTAGAGTCTTGCTTGGTTTTGCAGTGCAGAGTGTTTGGTGGGTTGGCAACCCTCTCACCAATCCTTTTCAGCTGTGGGTATTGATGAGGAAGGGGCCCTTCATGGATTGGTGGCTTGAGCCCCAGTGACTCTGCTCTGTATGGCTGTGGATGCAGATACTGACCGATGAACCTGCTCTGTATGCCTGTGTGCATGTAGATAAAGACTGACAAACCCAATCACTATGGCTGTAGTTGAAGATGCTTAGGCTACACTGGTCATTAAGTACCTGAGGACTCTTACCTTGACTTTCACTTCCTTCCCCAATCTGGTGCCAAGTTCCCCTGATCCTCCCCGGGTAGAGCACTGAATTTCCCTCCACTTTTCATCCCGGGTCTGAGGAGGTGCTCCTTATAGAAATTGTGCTCTGTTTTTTTCTGATCCACATTTTTGTACAGTTTTTTTGCATAGAAATTCATACTCAAGTTTTACAGTTCCTTTGGCATCCGATTACCCCTAGACCCCATCCAAGTTAACCCTTTAAAAAAACAACTAAAAGCCATCACCAGGACTGTTTACTGACTCCAAGCGTGCAAAGTGTGTCTGGCTGTGCAGAACATAGGGGGACCCAAAACAAACTCAGCGGCCCCTAAGGGGGTAGTGGTACAGTTATATGCAAATAATAAAATAAACAATACATAATATAAATAGTAGTTGCTAAAGTGCCTGTGTTTGTAAAGATGATCACAATTCAATATTCAGTGTTGATACTCTAGACCTGATTGTAACCTGTAGTCACCACCAGGGGCGGACTGACCATTTGGAAACTTGGGTACTGCCCGAGGGCCCGGGGTCAGCAAGGGGCCCCATGAGATGCCCCTGGTACCTTTTTCATAGGCTTTTTTGAGTTTGGGCAAGGACACAGGGGCCCCATGATCCCCTATTGCATGGGGGCCCCATGAGTTGTCAGTCCGCCCCTGGTCACCACAAATATTGTCTCCTTTTTATGATCTTCACAACACCAAGGCCATAATTCAACACCTCTCTGCCCCCCCCCCCCTTGCCTTGGGTTAACACAGTGGAAGTTTTTGACGTTTATCAATTGTAGCCTTCTTTTAGGGTGGTATGAGAAATGGTGCTCCCTGAACAGGATATTGTGCTAAACATGTAGGGAGTTAGGAGAACCAGAAGCGTCCCAAAGTGGGAGAGTGGGTTTTTGATAGTATAGTTGGCAATCCCTTCACTCAGGACAAGGCCTCTGTGAACTGAGGGGATGCCCTTCCTGGGAAATTAACCAGAAATCTAATCAAAGTATTTGGGAGCAAAGGAACTACTGCAACCAGCATATAACATTAACCAGAAGTATATAGATGTACTTCAGTATTGAAATCATACAAGCTTTATATAGAACATTAATAACAGTTCATACATTCAATGTACAAACAGGTATTATCAGCAAAGTGTCCAACAGCAGTCTTGGTGAAATTGTGCACATATACTGGAGTTAGACATGTGCGATTCAGTTCATTTGCATATGTTTTTCGGCTGATTCTGATTTATCCAAATTTCCAAATAGACATAGAAACAAATGGAAAATAATCCAAATAAGATTACAACAAAAATCTGCATTTGTTTATTTGTTTCATTCGAATGATGCCATATTTTTAAAAAGATCCGAATTCATTGTGAATAGCTGTGGTTGTTAAGGAGCAGGCGGCCACCGCATCCTTAACAACCATGGCTCATCTGCTGTCAGCGGGATTCTCCTCTGTCATGCTGTTAAAAAAACAGCATGGGGTCCCCCTTAATCTATGCCAGGCCCTTCCCCCCATACCAGGTCCCCCCCCCCAAAGCACCTTGTCTCCATGTGATGGGGACAAGTGCCTATTCCCCACAACCCTGGTCTGTAGTTGTGGGGGTTAGTGGGCAGGGGGCATATTGGAATCTGGAAGCCCTCTTTAACAAAGGGGCCCCAGATCCCGGCCTCCCCCATGTGAATGAGAATGGGGTACAAAAGGGTGTCTATTTTTTTAAACATTGGCAGAACTATCCTAATAGGTGAGTTATGCAGGACATAAAGCAAGTGTAGAGCTCAAATTATCAGGCTTGTCCAGCTTACAACAGTTAGGGGGAGTTTACTCCATGCTTTATATTTTAGTTTAGATGTATCCAATAGGGGTTGTGAATTGAAATATAAATAATCCTCTACCTTGGGGTGAACCCAGACTCCTAGATATTTAAATGCAGACATGACTCTAATCTATCTTGCACAGTGAGGCAGCATTACATTTTGAAAGTCTAATAGGAGTAGAACTAGCTTGTCCCAATCCATCACAAATTCGGAAAAAGACCCAAACCTGGTAATAATGGACATAAGAGTAGAAAGAGATGAATCTGTATCCCCCAAAAAATAATAACGAATCATCAGAACATAGGGTTAATTTTTCCACCCTGTCTGCCCTTCAAAAGCCAACAATGGAAGCTGATTGGGGAATAGTCACAGCAAGTGGCGCAATCTCCAAAGTGAAGAGGAGAGGGGAGAGGGGACAACATTCCCCTTTGAAGGGAGAAAGGGACAGATTGGGACCCATTAATCAACATTGTAGCTTGAGGTACAGAGTACAGTAACTTCATCCAGCCTATAAAGCGGGCCCCCAGACTGAAAAGATCCAGCACCTCCCAGAGATAGGGCCACTCCACACTATCAAAAGCTTTGGATGCATCTAGTGATAGAATGGCTCTACCTTCCATATTATCCACCCCGCTTCTGCCAGCCCCCTCTCTCATTCCCTCCACTGGCTCCCGATCGCCCAACGCATTCAATTCAAACTACTAACACAGACATACAAAGCCATTCATAATGCTGCACCAAACTACCTCACCGACCTGATGCCCAAATACCACCTTACCCGTACTCTTTGCTCCTCACAAGACCTCCTACTTTCTAGCTCCCTGGTCTCCACCTCCCATGCCCGACTGCAGGACTTCACCAGGACTTCCCCCATCCTCTGGAACTCACTACGTCAATCCATCAGACTGTCACCTACCCTCCTCACCTTTAGGCACACACTGAAAACCCATCTCTTCAGGGAAGCCTACCCCACCCTCACCTAATAGCTAATCTCCTCCACTCCTCCTACCACTCCATCCCCCACAGCCACTTCCTCCTGTACCACTATCCCCTCCCTCCTAGATTGTAAGCTCGAGAAAGCAGGGCCCTTGAACCCCTCGTGTTTTGTTTTGTACTGTATTGTCTCATGTTCTGCCCCTCACTATAATGTACAGCGCTGAGCAAACCTTTTAGCGCTATATAAATACTGTATAATAATAATTATCCAATGGTAGCTGTTGATTCAAGAAAAGCCTATGTATGTTGATTGAATATTATAATAGTGTAGCACTAAATAACATAATCAAAACAATCTGTATGAAAGTGATAAATTAAATGTATTGACCTTGTGAGAAATCTCACAGTGCCTATAATACTCTAAGTGCTCATCACGCGTGTCACTTATCTCATAAATAATATTACACAACATATATCATAATGGTGCTATGTTAGAATCATTAAACATAATTTGTTTTAGTGCCACTTCAAATAAACATATAACATGTGATCGTGCCAAATCACTATAACTTAATATATCGTCCAATGTCCAAAAAACAATATAAAACAATGTAATCCAAGTGATGTTTAAATGCACATGCAGTGTGTTATCATAGTGCCACTCGTGAAAACACACTCTTCCACTTTGGCTGCAATGCCTCCTCACCTCCTTTCAGCGACCCCTAGGGGCCCACAAGCCTCTAGGATCACCTTGGATCCTCAACACTCCTGGATGGTACCTCTCAGGCTATCCTCCTATTTGGCCTCCTCCACACCTTTACGCCTTATGGAGTCCTCTACAGCGATCCTCTGTGAATTCTCACTCTCATAATAGTGAGTTCAAAAAAAGAGATCCTCCATAGTGTAGTCATTTTCAAATCCAGCAAATATTTTTTTTTATAGGGCAAATAAGAAGTAACTCACATTTGTGTACAGCGTTTTTTCTTCTCCCCTGCATGGGTAAACTGCACTCATGTGTTACTCTTGGAAAATGGCGTCCCGTACCGGAAGTGCATCACTCCGGACTCCGGAAACTGCGTCTCTGCGTGCCTACGCGTTACGTCACGTAACCTCGTGACTTCATCGATAAGGGCCCTATGAGGGCCTATGTGGTGCGATGTCATGCCTATTCATTTTAATATGATGAAATCGCACCGCACCACACTAAAAATAGTGCATGCACTACTTTTTTTAAACATACGGCAACCACATTGCATGGTACTTTGTATCATGCAGTTTGGTGCGGACCAGCACGAACAAACGCAATGCGTTTGCGGTCTGCATTCGCGTTCGGGGTGTCATGAACTTTAACTGACCCCCTTAACAGATCGCAAAGGCACAGGAAAGCAGCTCTCCCCCGCACCACATTCCAGTGAACGAGCACCAAAAACACAAAATGCATCATTAATGCAACACATTATGCATTTTTGCGGCTTTTACAATGCATTTCAGGCCTGTTTCCACACCAATGCAGTTGGCATTTTGTCTGTTTTATAGTGCTTTTTGAAGTGTGTTTAGAGTTTTTTGCACGTGTTTTTGGTGCCTTTTTGACACTTTTTTTTAAGCGCTTTGCGTTTTTGTGTTTTTTTTTTTTTTTTGAGAGGGGTGAGGGGCAGCTTACTGCTGGGCAGATAAAAAATGCAAAACCATCAAAAACACACATCACATGTGCATTTTTGATGCATTTTCAGGCCTTTTTCACACCAATGCAGTTTGCATTTAGTCTGGTTTTGTCAGTGCTTTTTGCAGTGTTTTGCTTTTTTGACACGTTTTTTGATGCGTTTTGCATTTTTAATGGGGTTTTTTTTGGCCAACTTGTTGCTGGGCAGATTAAAAAAGCAAAGTGTGTGAAAATGCATAAAAAACTACATGCGTTTTCTGCTGCATCTCCATTATATTCTGTTGATCCAAACGCACAACGTTTTTCATTTAAAAAAGTTCCTGACCCTTTTCAAAAACGCAGCAGCTCAAAAGAGCATAGATGTGAATGTGTCCCATAGGAAACCATGTTAAATGGACTGCAGTGAACTTCTGCAAGAAGCCCTAAAAAACACATTGGTGTGAACCAGGCCTCACTGGGGAGGTGAATTTTTGGTGAATTTTGTTTAACTTGCCAAATATGCACCAAAAATGCGGCAAGTAGAATTTTTTAACACTGCAAGGGAAGTGCAACGAACCAGTGCAAATACATACATTGAATTGAAAGTGATGCATTTTTCTTGCACCTTTTTTCTTGAGCTTTTCTTGCACCTTTTTTTTTTTTTCAAGGCAAAAGCTCTGCAAAAATGACTCATTGTGAAAGCAGCCTATTGGCCGAAAAGGTGCTTAAAATAAATTCATATTCAGTTAAATTCATGATATTATTGAACAGTCGAATATAATATAATGTATAAAAATTTTTTTTAAAAAAACTGTCCATTTCGGTACTGGTTTTTGATCAACTGCATCCAGAATTTTCAGTCTCGGTTCAAGAATTTTCATTGCTGTGCACTACAAAAAAAAAATCCCCTACTCATTCACTAAAAAATTATTTTGGATGCATTAATTAGGTAGAGATTTAGTTTATTTTGTTTCGTTGTGTTGGTCTGTTTCGTTTTCAGGATTTTTTTAGCTTCTTCGTCATTTGATCAAATTTGTTGTAAATAGCTGTGGCTGTTAAGGAGCTGGCTTGAGCATAGATGGATTCAACTACAGGAGTTAACTCAGTTCAGTATCCTGCAGGCAGTGACCGTGATAACAGTGTTTCTCACCATGGACTAGGATGGGATGGTTGTGGGGAGAAACCATCATCCTAGAATTTACCCCTCCGGTGGTGTCAGCGAGGGGGCTCACATTCTCTGAGGTGCAGGTGGC